TGAAAAATAACGTTGAAGTAGTTATTAAGATTTTTGTCTATTGATTACTCAACAACTGTAATCCTGCAAATGTCTCCTGTTTCTTGTCTCATTTCCTTCTCTCATTAATTTTTTTTATCTGTGGCATATTTTAGTTTTCATAGCCAAGAAGTGATAGGCCGATAAAGTTTTTGAATCGAGTTTCTTAAACTCCTATGAAAGGTTTTATGATGATTTATCAAGACAAGACCTGTCTGTGTGATTGAAAGCTTATTGACATATTTGGATTTTCTCAAAGCTTCACAAGATCTTTTTTTTTTTTTGTTATTGATCTTTTACCTATATGGTTTTCATGTATAATTTTTTCTTTGCTTTTTCACAGCCATACCTCTATACTCTGGTTGTTGTCCTGAAAGACCGATCTGGCCGTGTTGTTGACAGTGAATCATGTCCAGTAGGATTTAGACAAGTGTCTAAAGCCCATAAACAACTGCTTGTTAATGGACATGCTGTTGTGATTAGAGGTGTGAACAGGCATGAACATCATCCTCAAGTGGGGAAGGCAAACATAGAATCCTGCATGATCAAGGTACTGCTAATCCTTTTTCGCCCTTCAATAAAGTTGTCAGTACATTTCATTTATTTGAAGGCTAAAAAGCAATAATTGTTGTGATTACAGGATTTGGTCTTGATGAAGCAAAATAATATTAATGCAGTGAGGAATAGCCATTATCCCCAACATCCACGTTGGTATGAGCTATGTGATCTGTTTGGCATGTATATGATAGACGAAGCAAATATTGAGACACATGGTTTTGACTATTCTAAACATCTCAAGCACCCTACTTTGGAACCAATTTGGGCATCTTCAATGCTGGATCGTGTGATTGGCATGGTTGAGAGAGATAAAAATCACGCATGCATTATTTCGTGGTCTTTAGGGAATGAATCTGGATTTGGAACAAATCATTATGCTTTAGCTGGTAGATACTGCACTTGGGTTCACTTACAGTTAGCATATTTGAAGTGTCTTTTTTTTTTATTCTGCTGTTACATTTTATTTTAAGATTACTGGCTAAATTTTTTTTTTTTTTTTCATTTTGTCAACACATCAGGCTGGATTCGAGGACGAGATTCATCACGGGTATTACATTATGAAGGAGGTGGATCCAGGACTCCATGCACTGATATTGTGTGTCCTATGTATATGCGTGTTTGGGACATGGTGAAAATAGCCAATGATCCAACTGAAACACGTCCTCTGATACTGTGCGAGTATGATTTCATAGTTTTACATCAACAACAGAACATGACTTCTATTGTTCCCTGTTGTTTTCAGTTATAGATAATTAGTTATATCTCTTACTGATATAAGTATAAGATAATATTGGTTCATTCCCTCTCTGTATCTTTGTTAGTGCTGGTATTGTTTGTTTTGCATATATTTAAAATCTTTTTTTTGCCGACCCAAAAAATGGCAGATATTCACATGCAATGGGAAACAGTAATGGAAATCTTCATATATATTGGGAAGCAATTGACAACACATTTGGACTCCAAGGAGGCTTTATTTGGGATTGGGTTGATCAGGTGAGTGGCTTTTTGAAATACTGTAACTAAATTGAGGAAGGATAAACTTTACCCTACATTGTCTGAATTCTCTCAGTTTTGTACTTTGCTTGCACATAGGCGCTGGTGAAAGTTTATGAGGATGGTACAAAGCATTGGGCATATGGAGGTGAATTCGGGGATGTTCCCAATGATTTGAATTTTTGTTTGAATGGGCTCACATTTCCTGATCGAACTCCTCATCCTGTTTTACATGGTAAACTGACAGACT